GAGGCCAGGAGGACCTTTTACTTTGCTGTCTCCTACTTAGGACGTGGAGGGTCGAGCATATGAGCCAGGACAAGAGTTCTAAGTCCCAGTCACCCAGTTTTCCCTTCTTGGATAGGCCCCCTGACTTGGGAGGCATCCCTACACCAGAGCCTTCCTGTTGTATTTTCATTCCTGTTGCTATAAGAGATACCTTGACCAAAAGCAACAGAGAAGACTCAAGGGTTGCTTTTCATCCAGTTCCAGGCTTCAGTCAGCCACTGAGGCAAGAAACAAAACCGGGGATATACCGGAATGCGCAGATGCTGCTTGCTAGCTAATTTCCCTCTAACTTTCTCTTGTCTCATACAGCTCAGGATCTCCGTGGCTAGGGGATGATTTCACGCACAATGGGTTGGGTCTTCTTATTCCAGTTAGCAATAAAGACAGGCAAGCCTCCAAAGGAATGGCCATAGGCCAGTCTTATCTAGGCAGTGCCTCATTTGAGGCTCTCTTTGCAGTTAATTCTAGATTGTGGCACGGAGACATTTAAAATTCACCTTCATCCCATGCCTTGCCACCAGGATCATGGTGGTTAAGACTCAGTTCACTCTGGTCACCTTAAACTCGATCTAAGTTATCCTTCTCTTCCCAGTCAGCCTAGAGTGCTCTGGAACAGGCTACTGTCCCTGGTAACTAGCTAGTACTGGTAACAGTGCTTTGGGAACACTTCTCAGTCCCTGGTCTGACCACTTAGTAATTTATCACTTTTGTTCTATCGCAGGGAAGAAGGGCTTTTTAAAAGGTTTTATATAACTCAAAGGAACGAGAAATGCAGGCTCGTCCAGGGCAGCATGGGGAACGTTCAGAGAGGTTAATAAGCTGTTTTACCTTAAAATCAGCTGCCTATTTTGCAGGGTTTCCCTGTGAGTTTTCGGGAACTTTCGAACTCCATCGCACCATCTAGAACAGACTCATACCCCGACACCATCACTTCCTCTGATAAGTAGACTTCATTTGACTGGAACTTGAAGGCTCTGGAGCTTCCATGAGTGAACCTGTACATTCATCTCCTCTCTGTCCCCACAACCAAGTGGAGAGTCCCACGCACTCACTCAACACGTCGCACAGAGGTCCAAGGCCTGCCCTGTTCATCCAGCTAGCCTGTGGCTGTGTCCCCCTGAAAGCTAGCACTTTCTCCCACCGCTGACTGCGGTGTCCTTTAAACTCCAGCCTCCCAAATCTGTTGTTCAAATCTACATGGGAGGTATGTGTACAGGTGTATGTCAAATATTCAAAATAGAGCATTAAGATACATTTTCAAAGCAAATCCAGCACAGCCTCTCAGCTTCACGCACAACCATGGTGAGGCCTGTAGCCATACCGTTTGAGGATTTCAGCGAGGGCCCGGCAGGCTCTAACCATCCTAGCATAAAAACCAGCCAGAGAAAGGGACACAGTGAAGGACTCTGAGGCCAAAGCACCTAGTTCCTATCACCTCCAGTCGCCTCACCTCTTCCTGCAGAAGCTAGAGGCAGTCTGTCATCTTAGTGACTCTATTTTCTTGCATACACAGGATGTGACACTTTTGATATCTGTAGGACACCACTGAAGAAAAGGCATCGGCTCTGCTGTTGCAGACCAATAGCAGAAATCCTGAATTCCTGAGGCTTGGTAACCCCTAGGATTTCTTCTATGGACCCCTCAAGAAGAGGGGAATCACTGTCTGGTGGCCCTTCCAGCACAAGTGGCTTTTATTGTGTTAAATACCACACCCCCATAATTCCTTGTCATCCCATGTCTCTCCCCACAGAGTACTGAGATCTCCGGGACAGCAAGAGGTCAATGGCCATGTGTTTTTCCACTCGTGGTATCTCCGGCACCCTCTGAGGTATCTGGTACAAAACAAAGTCTCCATACACACTGGCTATCGTAGCAACCTAGCCGTCCCCACCAACGTAAGCTGAGAAGCAGCAAATTCCAGACTTTTCAATGATAGGTGACGATGGGTCTCCAAAAAGAACATCAAGAAGTGAGCCGATGGCAATGAGTGGGTTTGGAGATCAGGGAGCATAAAGGGTTAACATACCACTCTACTGCTGTTCCCCGGAGGTCACAGGTTTGCATTAAAGCAAATGGATTGAACAGAATAATGTCCGAGGCCACTTTCAGTTCGTGGACAAGGAGGTCACCCTGGTCTCCTTGCAATCTGCGCACAGAAGCCCCAAGACGTCGCAATAAAGGCACAGTCGGGTGTCAGAAACCATCTCTCAAAACCCAGTACTGAAAACTGGTAGCAAATACCTGACCAAGTGAGAGAGGGTTCAGAAAGACAGGAAGCCTCCCTGTCAATGAGAAGGGAGGCGCTTGTGACCTGGGGGTAACATGTTCCAGTCTCCCCAAGCAACCTAGTTCTGAGGAAGAATCTGAACAAACCTACGGAAGTTGGAGACTGTCTTCACAAAGAGGCCCCCAGTGACAGTCAACAGAGCACTGCAGCTGCTTCTTGTTCTGCCGAGTGAAACTGAGACCCAGGACCCAGGACAGTTTGGGTGCCACATTGCAAAGCAACTGAGCCTTGGCAATGAGCCTCAAAGGCAGGCTCTCACCGGGGTCACGTTGGGGTTCTTCTGACCAAATTAGAACACACGAGCTCTCAGGTTCTCAAGCTAGTGACGGGGAATGCAGTTTCCATGTGGGTCAAACGGACCTGAAAGTCTGTTTCTGGATTTATTCCGACCAGGCCAGCTCTCCGTGCACAAAGCAGTCACCGCCAAGTCCCCTAGAAGTCTCTCTTGTCACTGGTCTCACTTTCCAATTTTCAGTAATTTACAATCAGCCGAAGTTCAAGAAATATCACATAGAGAATTCTAGAAGTTTTAAAACAATAGGTTTGAAGCAACGCATATCGCTGGATATCACTCTAATTGTTCTATCTCATTGTTAGCTACGGTTAATCTTTTACTGTGCTTAGTTTAAATTTTGGACTTTGTCATAGCGCCCCATGGGAGCCAAGGTCTTGGATATCTATGGGGATCTTGGACAATACCTGGATAAGAGACCATGGTACAAGGACAAGTTGACTGATGGACTTTACTCTTTTCTTTTCTATTTGCTTTTTGGAGACTGGGAAGGGCTTGGGATGAAAGCTAAGGTTCAGCTTCCACAAAGCAAAAGCCCTGTCCAAACATAAACCCTTGAGCCATCAGCTCCAGTCAGGTAAATTGATGGGGGTGAGGGGCTGGGTGGGTATCAAAGGCACACATCTGGGGGTGGGGTCCTTCCTGGTGAGGCCTGCCTGACACTTGTTTCTAGGTCAGAGTCCTGACATGATAGGCCGCTTGGAGAAAGAAGAGATAGAGATTCACTTGTCACAAGGTCATAATGAGGATCTAGGAGCCCCCCCACCTTGGCATCCTTTTCTTCCAGGCCCACACGTGGATAACTTGATTCCCTGGGGGGATCAAGGACTCCTGACATTGGTGAGAGTCAACTGCTCAGAGGTCCCAGCCTGAGGAGTATGGGAGTGGCGGCAGCCAGCGCCTGCAGATCTGACCGGCACCGGCACCACCCACAAATAGCTCAGAAAAAAGTCAGCTTCTGCTTGGTGCTGCAGAACCGAGCTGAGGGGCGCTCACACCCTTAAAGAAACCTCCCTGGTCACTTCCTGCGACACTTCCTGTTTTCTAGCTCCAGATCTGGTCGAATGTTGCCGCCTGAAGCAAAGTCAGTGTGGGGAGGGAAGCTCCTGCTAAGCCCAGGCCCTGGCTGTGATGGTCAGTATGATCTCAACAAATAAGGCTGGAGACGGAAATGAAAGAAAGGACAGGGAAGAAGTCCACTGTTAATTCTTTCATTTCTTTAGTCAGCTCCTGCCCACATCCACGCACACGCAGAAGCATACTGTAAGCCTATGTTAGCACGGTACACATCCACACACAGTCATGCGTAATATCTACTCTGCAGGACTCATTATGGAGCCTGTAGTAACGGCTCCACTTTACAGAAAAGGAAACTGAGACTCTGAGAGGCGAAACCACACGTTTACAGCGAAAGGCTCCATCCTACTACATCCAATTTTAGGCACACGCAGGAAACACAGAACGGTGAATTTTAGTTATTGTTTTTCAGCCAATCACGGAAGTTCAGAAAATGACAAGACTTTGGTGTTTGGGGCAGGAAGGGGAAGTACACCGAGGCTCAGGGGCCCAGCCCTGAGGCTTTGGTCTCCCTTTTTCATAGCTTAGCCTAGCCGTTGTTTCCAAAGAAGCCGGCAGGGGGCAGTGCATCTCTCTTTTTCAAACGTGGGGGCGCTCTGGGCCATTATCCAAGAAAGAAAACCAGGGGACACCACCCGCAGTTTCCAGAAACACGCACACAGGTTTAGCGAGGGAGGTAGTAGGTGCTCAGCGCGCTCCTAGAAGCCAGTGGATGAATTTAAATTTAGTAGTAATGGTAAGGGACGAGGGGTGTTCTGACTCCGGTCAGAGCCTTCTGTCCTAGGGGCCTTATCACTGAGTACAGTATTAGCACCTATTATGTGCCAGGAGCGACGACAGAGATTGCATAGCCTCATCCCTACTAGCAGTTTTTCCGCTCCGGAGAGCCCCTCACCTGCCGCAAAGAGGGTGGGCGCTTCGGCTCACTACAAGTCCATGTGGGCGTGGGGACGCGCGACAGTGGTAAACTAGGAGAGGAGAGGGTGCCCCATAAACACAGTGAAAGTCTGGAAAATGCCTGATGTGGCAACTGAGCGAGCTTGTTCCTGTCCTCGGGGTCACTGATGTCTCCTGGGAATCAACCTCCGAGATGCCGTGGCCAGCCCAGCCCCCACCCATTCGCGCACTCCAGAGTGCGCACGTCCTCTCGGAGTGCCACTAATTCCTACTGGCGGTAGGAGCTGGCTAGGACCCTTCTTCAAGAGGCTGGAGAAACTCCAGGTTTCAACAGACGGGGTGGTGGGGGAATGGGTCCGGGCACCCTTTCCTAAAACCTCGCCGTGAGGCAAGGAGAAAACGCCTTACCTATACCACGACGGGGGCACCGGTCTACTCAATGCCCATTTCGAGTTCGGACGCGCTGCCTCCCGCAAGGTCATGCTCAAACCTCCACAAACAAACAAACAAAAACTCCGAGGGTTGAAAGTTGCTTGCGCAACGGTCCCATTCGGAGCTAACAGTACTCGCCTTGTCGTTTCCCCACCCTGGTGCACTTATCAGAGGGGCGGACCGTGCCCTGCGCTGGTCACGCTATGGAGATGCAGACAAGTTGCTAACTTTTGTCACATTATTTCTTGGCAGTTGCGGTGTTCAACGGGGTTGGAGCAGACTCCCAAGTTTCAAGTTGCCTTCTCCGTGCTCCCTTTGCCCACGTTAAGCCACCCACTTTCCAATACACCTTATCCAGTTGTCCTGTCCTAAGCGCCAACTTCTCCCAGAGATCCGGGGCAACGGGGGATTAGAGGTGTCCTGGGGGCCAAAAGCCTCCTCCCGGCTCTGCGCCTGCTCACAGCGGATTGGGATACTCCATCCGGATACTGTCCCACTACCTCTGGTCTAAATAACCAAGGGCCTCCAAGCGTCCCCCACAGTGTCCCAGCCCAAGACCTCGGTTTCTCTAGAGAGTGTGGGCAATCAGCGCCTGATGGAGTCTCCTACCCGCGGCCCGGTTGGGGATCTACTGCGGTACTGGGTGCAATGTCACCGCGGCCGCTCCGGGAATCGCTGTCTCAATCACCGTAGGCTCCCCCACTGAGCTCCGGGAGGCTTCTTCAGTAAGCGCCAAAGAGCCTGGAACGCCAGAGCTGGAGTCTCTTCCCTGACACTCTTCCTGAGACCACTGTGGTGGCCATGACTGAGACAGAGATCTCTCTCCTCGTGTCTCCTCTTGGCGCCTAGGGTCTTAGGTCTTAATCCCACTGTCATACCTTCCTAGCCCCTTCCCCACCCCTTCTATTCCGAGGTCCGGACGATCACCTCTACACTTAGAGAACACATGCGAAATTTCCCGAGCCCCAACTCGCGAGGGGGAGCCGTCCCTGAGGCACCCGGACAGCGACCAGCTGGGTGCGCACTCACCCAACGCCGGAGACACGCCGGAGTTACCCGGCTTGGGGCACTTAGGAGGTTCGGAGGGGTATCTAAGGAGATGTGTCCGGGATACTCACCCCGGCCAGCTCACACCTCCGGGTCCTCCTCTACCTCCTCTTCTGCCTCCTCCTCTCTCCTCCCTCCGGTCTAGGGCTCTTTGTCTTTGCAAAGTGTCGAAAGTGTCTGGCATAGTGGGCTCCGCCGGCGGAGGCTAGCGCCGGGGAAGCGGGAGGCGGGGTGAGGATGGGAGCGGCCTCTGGAACACCTTCCCCCGGGTGTAACGGGAGTCGGAGGCGGGGCGTCCGGGGAGGGGCCACCTTCTCCCGCCGTTGGGACTAAGCGGCGACTTGGGCGCGCCCAGCCCCGCGGCCGCCT